ATTAGTTTCTAAAATTATTTAAATATTTAAATGTTTGCTGTATTTAGCAATGTCAGAGGTCCAGACATTGTACCAAGGAGAGATTAAATAAAAGTCACTTTTATTTTATGTGACTACAGTACCATTTAAAAAAGATAAATGGCCTTGGTATATTAGTAAAAGTTTTTTTGTGGAATGTTTTCTAAATATAAGAAATTGTGTGGGAAAGACTGTGTAGCATCTTGTGCTGTCTTTTTTTTTTTTTTTTAAGAAAAATACTCCACTGATTTCCTGGCACAAATCTCTGCAGTCTAGTAAATTCTAGTTTAAACTATAAAATATTAGCAGTATCTTTTAAAATAAAAACTGAGCAGAACAAGTTACTTCATTTCTTTTTTATAAAACATGCCTTGAAATCTGATAATGATCCAAATGGGAAATTTGCTTTCAGTCTCCTTTGAAGTTAAATAGGAGCATGAGATCACCTCCAGCTGTCTGAACTCTTTTCTTAATATTGTAAGGTTGCAATCATAATTCTGAGAGGTCTTTGTCTGAATAGGAACCACACAATAGATCACAAGGTACAGGTTTAGGAGTATGTAATGTAACATTCAGCTCAGTGGGTTTATGATAACTTATATGAGAAAATAATTTGTTTATAAAACATTCCTTTATGATGTCATCAACAGGTTAGTCCTCTTAAAATATCTTAATTCTTTTGAATATGTGATCCTATAGCATCTACCAAATGCTTGTTCTCTCTTTCAGTTCTATTGAGGTGATTGTATATAGATTAATTTCTAAATAAAAATGACAAAAATTACTTGATTCATAAACAGGTCCATTTTGTATAATTTCAGTGGAGTGGTATAATAAGGATGATTCTACATACCATGACCTAATAAGCTTTTACGAACAGTTTTAGTAGTATAGTTCTGAAACTGCTATTAAATCTAATAGCATTAATATAAAAATGTAATTAGTGGAGGTGTAGGTTGCAATAGTTCTAATCATAATCTTTTTTTCTGTATGTGTCATTAGATATATAGTGATGCTCCCACACATTCTGTATTGCAGCAACTAATCATAAATAAGAGATTTGTAAGGCTGTTTAGGAGATACACAAAATATCAGAGACATAACAAATTATATTTTTCATATATGCCATTTCTTTGGCACTCTGACTCATTGATCATGTCTGCTTATACATGAGTGTGATTTGGATTTTGTTTGTTTTCTGATAGGAATGCAATTTCATTATATCTCTATTTGCTAGGTTCAGGAGAAGATGTTAGTACCTTGGTTTGTTAGCAAGACAATCTCTTTAGATTAAATCCCAGTTTAGTGATTAGGAAAATAAATTGCTGCAAATAGTCCTCAATATTTCAGCAGCAAAGAAATACAAAAAAAGAAGTTGGGGTTTTTTTTGGTGTATAGTTGTCATCATCTGAAGGAGTTCATATGGTCTGATGACACGGCACCACAAAATATTTTGATATTCACGTTTGCTAAAATTCTGGGACAAGTTTGAAAACCAGTTTGTATTTGGGAAGACCTGTTGTAACACAGTGCTGTTATACTCACCATTTATTCTCAGGATTCATTTTTGGGTTTGACTTTTTTTTTTTTTTTTTTTTTTTTTTTTGAGATGAATTTCAGTATGGGGATATCATTTGTGGTCAGAAGGATTTAATGCCAAGATAGCAGAGGTGTCAACTCTGAGGATGCTTATGTGTGTTTAAAAAAATGGAAACAGGGGTTCAGTCTTACTGTGTTGCAGTTTTAGGATTTAGAGGGTCCTAGATGGCAGTCATTGAGCAACTAAGGGACAATCACACTATGGGGCTTCTGGGGCTTTCTGGAATTCCACATGCTCTTTTCTTCATTACTTAAAAATAAATTCTGACTATTTCTTAAGTGTAGCATTTGTATTAAGAAAAATGTCCTGTTCAAATTCTCAGCAGTTTTCTTTATTAACTAGTACCTGTGAAACACAGTGAACGTTACATATTTTTTTCCTGTGTTTCTACAAGAGTGTTTTGTGTGTATGTATGGTTATGTATTTATCTTTAACTGTATAATCTTGTGATTGTTCATCTCCTGTACTAGTGTCATTACATTTAACAGCCTTTTGACTGATTTATGTTTTCCTCATTTAAAAAGTGGAAATAAAACCAAGAGCTAAAATATTCCCCAATTGTTATTCAAAGAAAATTATACTTCGTCTTCATCCTAGTTTTCTAGTGAGTACATTCAGCTCTGATTGGGCTGGTGCAGAGTTATTAAAGGAGTATTCCTTATTCTGCCAGAGCCCAGGTATGATGTGTTAGTATGACACAGTCCTTTCAAAAGAGATCAGCATGTGCACAAGTTATTGTTGCAGACAATGCTATTTTGGTACATTCTTATACATGTTATCAGTTTCAGGATTCTTTGTATCTGTAATATTATAACTGAAACTAAATCAACTGGAACACTGAGAAGTGGTACTCCTTGAAAAGAGCCACACCTAATAAGGATGCGTATTTGGCAGTAGTTCGCAGAATACCCACTAGCAGGTCATTTTGTAATTTTTGAAGCTTCATCCTTCCATGTTTATACACTTGTTCCCATGGGGTTTTATTTTTTCTATGCTTTCTATTAACCATTTTACCTAAGATTCAATATGAAAAGTGCTCTTAGAATTTTTTTTTTTTTTGCTATGAACTTTCTTTTTTAGCCAGTTACCCTGCTAACCACACTCGAAGATCTTTCTCATGTTTAAAAGTGGAGCCCACTGTTACATAAAAATTAAAAACCTGATATAAACCCCTAGTGGGTATAATTTAAATATTTTTCATATTTCTGATACAAAATAGAACTGTTCTGATAGTTGTTAGTTACTCCTTTGGGTTTACTTTAAAATGAAAATTTTTCTGTGCACTTTGTCCCTGCTTTCATCTGTGGCAGAGAGTAGCAACTTGACGGAACAACCTGAAGTTCATATAGCATCTTTTCACAGCCTAAGTGGCTTTAACAGACGTATAGTATTTTATCTTGTGTAAGAGTTATATAGTTAGAAAATTCTGTGAAATGTTCACATGCATGCTGTGTTATACTAATCAAGATTTATTTCAGTGCATCTTCCTTTCTTGGTGGAAAAATCCCCATTTATGCAGGCTGGATGCATTTTACATCATTGTTGATGTAGTATGAGTTCTTTTTTAAAGTCTTGGTATATTCATATATATATTGAAACTCCTGTGTATATGCATGCTTGAATCTGTCTTAATTCTTTCATTTTCCCCTACTCTAGCTGTGAAAAGAGTGCCCATTATTCTAGTGAGAGTCTCTTAGCCAGGGTAGTGTTGCTAAAGGACAGTTAACAGGGCAGCTTCAGGGCAACTACCTCTGCATCTCCATTTATTTCCAGTGTGTTGTTACAAGAATCTTGATGATCCTTGTGAAAGGTTCAGGACGTTTGGGGATTTTATTTTTTTTTTTGGATGCCCCTTCTTATAATCATCCTCTAGGTCCTGGAAAAAAACCTCTTTATAAAGATTTGTGTAATTTCCTGACTAAAAATTCTTTTTTAAGGCCAGATGAGTGTGAAAGATTGGTTTAAAGTAAAGCATTAAAAATTCTCCTGGCTTTAGTCAGTGTGTATTTGTCTGGTATGCTGAGTATGTCTTCTGTTTACCCTTCACCACCTCCACAGACCAGAATAGACCATAGTTAGACAACTTTCAACCCACGAGAACAGTAGTCAAAACAATTTTAAAATATGGAGTTCAAATAAATTAATATTATTTAAAGGAAGCTAGAAATGCAACAGTAGCTTATTAACTCTTGTAATTTCCAGCCTAGTTTTACTGTTGTTTTTACAAAATTAACAAATGACCAGAGTACCAATACAATGCTCTTAATGTAGAAGGGGACAAATCACAATTGGAACTGCCAAATTAAAAGCACTTTGGCACTAGTGTACATTTAAAATATGAGGAAAAGCACCAGCCTCCTCGCATAAAGTTTTATCTGGTTGTTACAGGTGCTAAAAAAGAATTAGTGATTTTAAATTAATTTTATTTTCTCAGCAACTTAAAACTTATGACTTATTTAGCTATGCCTAAATATAAGGGCAGATTCTGACCTAGCAGAAGGGTTATCAACCAGGTAAGGCATTGCTGATTGCAATCTCTAGCATGAGAGATGACTGTATATTGGCATTTGCAAATGTTCCAATACTGGATTGCACATACTTTGACAAAACCAATATTTATTCTTCAACAAGAATGTCTGGTGCTAAAAAATTTAAACGTTTTTCCATTAATATCTTCAGGATTTCATGAGATTTTGACTGCCTGGTGACAAAAATCATTGTGTTTTGGGAAGCTCAAGTGCAGCTGTGCACTGCTCAAAAAGAAATAATAAAGCCTTACATAATTTACAATAAAATGTATTGGTGGATTCATTAGAGATTGCTATTAATTAATCCTAAACATAGAGAACTGGTAGATTTGTTAGTGGAATGGATGTGAGCTGTTGGAAAAATATTTTTATTGGTCCTTATTTTCTTCATAAAATCGTTTTGAAAGCAAGAGCAAAGTTTCTGGAGTAATATGACTTTCAGCAGTTTTAAGCAGAACTATTATGATAAAGCTTTGGCTAAAGTATTCACAAATATATTGTATTAGTTTGATCACGTAGTTGAAGTTTAATTTAATTTTTTCTGTCTTCAGTGAGTGCACCTAAAAAGAACAAAATTAATTAGAATGGCTTAGTTCTGGGAATACAGGAGGTGGCTCTGTTTAGTTTTAAGAAAGTGAGTCAGCATCCAAGACATTCATCTTCACAATATGTGTAAATTTAAAAGACATGGCTTAGAAATAAAAGGTGTTACTGCACTTTAATGAACTTAAATTGCTCAGTTCTACCCTTTTTAACTCAGTTGTTCATCTCCCTTGCAGCTAATGGGTTTTGGTTTGTAGTCCTATATAGTTGTCAATCCCATCTGGGTTTTTTTCTGCTGTTAAGTGTTATACCTCTGTGCAGGGGACTAGCTCCAGCTCATCCCAACCACTGTATCACTTCCCTCAAGTTCCCAGTCCTTTTAAATACAGGAGACTGGCCAGGCTTCACTGCAATAAATAAACCAGGGATAATATTTTTAATCTTACTCTTCACTTGTATTTTGTTTGTGTACTTTTGTTGTTTCTGTGGAATACTGACTGCATCATCTTGAACATGGGAATGAGTGCACAGGGACACTTTGCCAACTTGACCAACCATCTGGTTTAGTGGCAAGAGGGAAACAGAATAGCACTTCTAATAAGAAATTAGTGAAGTAAGCAGCCTGACAGCATTGGGATACTTGGGATTCTCAGTGGATATTTTACATACCAGGGCAGGGAGTTTCTTTTGGCCTGTGAGACCACTCTGGAAACTAGCTAAAGTAATTGTGGTGAGGCAATTAGTGGATTGCAGAGGAGGAGGGAAGAGATGCAGCATGAGGTGCATAGATCCCTGAAGGCAAGAATGGAGGATTTCACCTGATACAGCAGAGCTGAGATTGGGAGTTGTGAACAGCAGTGGTTTAGTGAGGAGGTGAAACAGCTGATATTTTTGGTAACTGCTCTGTACAAGCTAGTTAAGTTTTCAAGCAATGATTGCTCATTCCAAATGATTGCCTTCTCGCTTCATACTCAATACTGCTATCCATAATTTATTTGTACATAAACAATGTTAATATTCTGGGGAAAGTAGTAAATTACACAACTGTGTCTGAGCACAGACTTAAGCATGAGTTTAAATCAATTACAGCAGAACGTTCATCCTAGCCAGAGACTGTAGTAGAAGTTCTGGAGGGGATTTATGGCACAAACCCAACCAAACAATAAAACCTGGCAGTAGCAAAAACATTGAAAAAAAAAAAAAAAGAAAAATCGTCTTTTTGGAATATTGCTGGGAGGAAATCAACACAAAGTTAAAAATAAGTAAATAAAAATAGATGGCAAAGGTTATATTCTAAAAAATCGTGCTACTTTTCTCATACCATAAACCACTGTCTTACTGCTTTTATCTATGTCTGAAAAAGTCTGAAATGAAATAATTTTGGAATTGCCTTGATTGTCAAACTTGTAACATACCTTTAAATCTTAGAGCAGCTGCTATTACTATTTCATTGTGTCATAAAATTGTCCTATATTTTTCCATCTGGTGGTCTGCTGTTTTTATAGTTGTATATCCTTTTGGCTAAATCATATGAATGTAAAGAAAACAGTAGAACAAGCTAAAACAGCCCAGCATGTTTTCAGTCAGAGATCAAAAGCTGTCAACAGGATGCCTAAGCTTCTGTTCAGTCAGCTATAGAAGACAAGAAGACAGAACCAATGAACTATATGAATGTATAAATGGAAAATTAAAAACTCAGACCTACTTAAGAGTAGATGAATCTGTTACTGTAAATCAATTCTTAGTAAGGTGAGCCGGTTGGCAAGCTACAACATGTCTGTGGGGATTAGGAGCTATTTCCCATTTCAGATGTACATGCCGCATCTGATGAATACTCTAGGTTGTTGCATAGCAGCCTATTCTAGTGTTTACATTTTTTTTGCTTTAACAGCTAGAACAGTACATTTTAGGACAACACATGCATTGGCAGTGACAGCCATTTCTGGAGAAGAAACAGAACTACTACATTAGCAATTCACTTAAAATTCTGCTTGATTTTTCATTTCAGAGTGCTATTATTTAGTGTTTGCATAGTATGATAAAGATGTTTGTGTTAACATCTACATATGCCGCAGTTCTTTAACATTTAATGTGGTTTTCTGAGCAACTGTGACTTCAAACCACTGTGGATCTTCATGGCATCACTGAGCATCTTCCATACTTTATGTTCCTTGTAATTACATTGCTCTTTAGCTCATGAGCTAAACAGGTGTGATGGCTCAATAATTCTGTGAAGACAGTATTTTTGGAGGCCTTCTCAGTTATGTGCTTGTGCTACAATATAAATATTGATAATTTTTAGCATTAGATCAAAATAGTTGATTCGTTAACTTTAATTAATGGTGACATATTTATCAGTTTTCCTGCAGAAAAAAATTTGCATTTGTTACTGAACAAAGGAACTGTTTGACTTGTAGAAATTGTTGCTCACCCTTTTTCTGTGCACCATTTTTATAGTTACGGTCACTAACATCTGATGAGTTTTGAAACTTCTGTCTTAAATTGAAGGTGAGTTCAGAATTATATCTAATCTGTGTAGTATGGTCACTTTGTACACCACAAAAATGCTGGATCTTCTGGATAAGATTCTTTGCCCAATACAGAAAGCTGTGCATTAATCAAATTTAAACCATCGTTAGTGAATATAGGGTTACAGATGGTGAGGATGGTGATATGTAAAGGAGTCCTCTTACCTTACATTAATTGTGAGAGTAAATAAAATAAGCATTTAAACCATCCAGTATTCTGCTAAAAAAGGGAGCACAAAAATAACTACATCACCTTTGGCCTTCAGAAGTCTTTGAATTATTACTAATTATTCATGCTTCAATTTTGTCTGCTTTTTAATGATGTACATGTGGTTATGTATTTATACTCTGGCTCTGTGATGGTAAAGCGCTCTATTAATGAGGATAAATGTTACTTAAGTGCCTACATGAAATAAATGTCCTCCTAAGTCTTTCCAGAAGTACACCTGCATGAAGATTGCCCACTCTACTGCTGCTGAAATACTTCTGCTAGAATAGAATCAAAGTGTAGCTTTAATCTATATTATTTCCACTGCTGTTTGTTTTTCCAGCGCATTTGCTTTATTCTTGTGGTGCTAGTATTATTTGAAGTTTCTACGGCAACCTGTCACCATCTGCTATTATAAAGTATGCTGGGATTTTGTTGCTAGGTGTTGAAGTTTGTCATCTTACTCATATGACCCTAATGTTTTTCAGATGTTTCTTTTCCTGTACATATTGCATCCACAGCTAATATGCACTTGAACAACAGTGGAAAAGATTCTGCATGCTTTCTGGTTGACCTTAGAAAGCCCTATTTGTTTTATAGGATACACCTATGATCCCTTCTGATGTACTTTGTAGATACTCAACCAAAACAGCACTTCTTTTACCTTAGCCACTGTTTTGCAGTGTTTATACTAAAACCACAAGCATTATAGTTCATTTAAATTTTATATTAATGATGCTTTTTTTTAAGTGGATGGGGAGTTTAAATACTTCCTGAGACATTCTCCTCTGTCTCGTTTTTGTTTGATTACCTTCTTATGGTACTGCTCCCAATAGAAAGGCAATGTTCATACTATTGATTTCGTTATTTCTTTACACCTTTTTTGAAAAGCTGTCAGCCAATTGATTAATTAAAAAAAATAGTTTAGTGCTGTTTCTGTTCTGTGTTCTTTTACATTCAAATGGAAATTAATGTTTTTAAGTTGGAAAACGTATATTTTATTAGATCTCTTCATCATAGTGCAGTGTATTCAGAGTTATTTCTATTAATTTTTCTGTTAGTATTTTCTCATTAGTCAAGTGCTTATTAGATACATTTTTTAATATATTTGACCCAGTTCTAATTAATCTTTTCTGCTGTATTCACAGAATAAATCCTAACACGCCTAAACACAACTGAAATTATTTGTTAGGATTCTGTCTGAAGAACTTCACCTTCTCTACCACAATCTTTTTATACTATTCAATCTCTACATATAATGCTTGAATTAATGAAGTAATTTTTAAAATCATATGCATTAAAGTATTGTGTTCGTAGGTGGTGCTTGATTCTGAATTTCTTCTATAATATATAGTGAGCATGCAGTCTGCATTCAAAGTGTAAGAGATCGTTCTTGTACAGAACTTACTGTATTTTCAAGCAAGTCATGCTCTTTGCACATTCTAGTAAGAGATACTGAAACAATATAGGAGAACTTAAGTGAACACACAGATATTTGCAGATTTGATCACAGCTCTTTATGGTCCTATATTACACTTCAGTTCTACCAGTGAGAATAGTAATGCTGAGTGCAGGACTACAAACATCTGAGGCTGCATCTGAGAAGCAAATCTTTATTGCTGGCATTTGGGGATTAGGAGGGAGGGGCAAGCTTTTAACCTATAAAGAAGCTAGCAGTTCATTTCTAATAGTTGAGATTGCTGGCAAGAAAATTATTAAAGATCAACAGTATTCACATATTTTCCTGTTTTACAGTTACATGGAAGTTTTTGTAGCAAACCAGCTTTACTGTCACCTTCTTTTTTATGTATCATTCAGTCCTGCTGATGTGAATTTTTGACAGGTTTGGTGTGAGGTACTGGCCAGCAATATGTAATCTTTACTAATGGCTCTTTTTCGTAATCAAGGCATATCATCTGTTAAATTTAAAATCACCTTACACAGTTACTAAGAATAGGCATTCATGCTGTACCATAATCACAGATATAGCTACACACATTTTAGAAGTTGGTTGGAACAAAAGAAATAACCTTCTTAAAGTCTTTATGCCTTTAAGCAACATATTAAATCTATTCGATGCTTGTGAAGAAATGCTGTTTATTTCAAGATGTGATTATTTAACGTGAGTACAGAAAGGCATTCTGTGGTGAATGTTAAACTACTAAAAATACAGGCTGTTTTTCATGTACAATTCTCTAACTTCTGTCAGTAATCCTTTTTCAAAATCAAGACATCAGAATAAAAACCCATTTCATTACTGAATACTTTGCTGTTAATTATTACTTTCAGCTATGCATTTAACATCACAGGAAAGATGTGTTTGATCGTAACTGTAACAGTAAACTACTACAGCAGGAAAACCAGCATTTCTTTTTAGAAGAGCATCAGTACCCGAGAACACACGATTACTTACCTGAAAGCTTTTGGTTTACCTGCAGAAAATGTGTCTTCTTAGCTTTAAAAAGTAGGGAAGCCTTTCACTAGCACTAATGTTACTCCAAAAGAAGGTATAATAGGTCCTTTATATTGTAATTTTCACTGTTTATGTGCAAGAAGTGTTCGGGGTCTGCTCACGTAGGAATAAATAAATAAAAAAAAAAAAAAGGCAGTACAAACTGAACAGCGGCTAACATATGAAAGTAAAAGACCTCTAGTGGCCATAACCTGAAGTTAAAGAAAGCTTCCCTTCTCTGAGAGGTAGACAAAATGGTTGGGTACGACAAACTGCAGCTGATACTTCGGTAATGTGTGCCTTTGTTGCCTTTCTGATGTGACAGAAGTATAAAGTGAATCAGAGTTAAATATCGAATCTAATGAGTACTACGTGGAAATTAAATTCTGGTCGGAGGGGCTAGTGAGTCCCTTATATCAATTCTAAACCAGTATGATGAAAAGGTCTGAGTAAATCTAGAAAATTACTTTGCATGCTCATCTACTTTATAGTCTCTTATTTTAATAAAATCAAAGCATTTAAAACAGGCTCACATTAAATACAATTATTAGAACTTCATCAAATTAAAAGTCATCAATCAATAAGGAGGACCCTTCACTGTCTTAAAGGAAAGCTGCAAATCATTAAGCTCGCTATTATTGCTTGAGAGAGAAATGTCTTTGTGACTTTCAGTAAATTACTGTGAAATAGTAGGATTATATATATTTTTATATCTTTTGGCATTTTCTCCTTTAGGAATTGAGAATAATAAAAGTATTTCATTTTGAGGAAGTTTGGAAGCACTTTTGAGAGATGAAAGTAATAGCATTCTATAGAAGTTTTACAGAGTTCTGTAATAGCTACTTAAAGGCTTGCAAAAATGTAAAAAATACCATTTCTTGCCATATTTCTTCCTGTGAGCAGCCTGTGTTTGTAGAATTATTATAAAATTGTGATGCTAATATATTTTCTTCCTATGAATTGCTAATGGAAGAATCCTAGGCAGCATCACATGCCTATTTGGAATCTTAAGGTAATATTGAGTTGTACTTTATATATAAAGTTTTTATATCACAGTGTGTGTTTCCATGCAGTGTTTCATAAATGATGCAACTTTCTCACCAGAGCTTACCCGTTGTCACGGTAGCTTTTGAATAATCTTTTTCAAGTTCTTAGTATGTTTCTTTCATCTGGGCTTGCAAAAGCTTGAAGTTTTTTTTTATTTTTTACATACATAAAAGTACTTATCGGACATTTAGAGTAGTTCAACTTTAGAAAGAATACAATCCAGTATTTTAAGTAATCTGCATGTGTTGATTTTCGTCTGTTTTTCTTTCAGAGTCATTTTGTGGCGTGCATGACAGCGATCTTAAACCAGATGAACAACCAGCATTATTCAGTTTACATTGAAACTTTTCAGACAAGTTCAGAACTGGTGGTGAGTACAAAATAGTCATGGAGGTGCTAAGTAATTAGAAATATTTCCTGTGAAAAGTCGGTAGTATTGTTTTGGATTATCTTGTCTGATATTTCCTAGAATTAAGTCCATTTCTGTATGTTTTCTGCTTCTATGTCATTGTGTTGCCATCCGCTTTGAATGGTAACCTTGGACAGTACTGTAATCGAAATGTGGGAAGACATAAATGTCACTGCTGTTGACCCTGACACCAAGGTGGTAATGTAATAATCAAGAATAAGTAATAGGATCTTTGTGTTATACTGTTCTGAGGAGAAAAAACCCACAAAACAACAAAACCAGCTAATTAAATCCCTCCCCACTTTGCACATGATGATCTATTTCCATTTTTTATTCTCACTATTGAGTCTAGATAATGTTGTATGCTAAATGCAGTAAATGCCTTATTCTTGAAATGCATCATTTTATGCCAGTTGTTTTGGGCATAATTTAATGATGTTTGGGGTATATTCTAGTTTGTATCAGTGGTCACTATATTATAGAAGGTTTCAGTTCTCCTATGTTTATCCTTTTATACTCCTGACATAACTCTGAAATAATTCTGGGTTTTGACAAAGGTTTTGATTACACCATCTACAGTTTGTCTATGAAGGTAATATTTTCAGATGGTAAGATGTGTCCATTTTCCTTTCTTTCTTAAAATCGGAGTGGGGCCAGAACTGGAATGCTAACAGATCAAATCTTGAATAGCTTTTGCAGTGCATCACATTTACTTGAAAATCTAACAGTATTTTAACATAATTTCATCTTCCAAGCAGATTGGGTACTTGGTTCTAGAAGTATTAGTAATCCTTAAACTATTTAAACAGTTCTGCAGAGGAAAAAAAAAAAAAAAAAAAAAAAAAAAAAAAAAAAAAAAGACATCAATATATTGACTGGGCTTTGATGTTTTTAAATGCATTGATTTGTTGTCGTCTTATTTTTTTTCCATACCGTAAGTATATGTCAGTGAAGATGACAAAGATTTGTTTACAAAATAATGCTGTTGAGAGCTATTGTTCACTTGATCCTCTGTAAGTAATATGACAAGAGTACAAACTTCGCAGAGAGCTGCTTATGAGGTTTTGGTGATAGATGATGACAGCTAGCTAGACTCACAAACTTCTAGGTGACTCACTCAGAAGTTCAAGGGTAAAACTGCATATATATGTTATACGTGAAATAGTCCTGAAATTATTATGTTAATTTTATTTAAGTTCATTATACAGTGATCTCTAAATACTTCCAAGAAAAGAAGTAGTGTTTGTTTTGTTTAAAAACTTTCTGTCAATGCTTTTAATTTTTAATTTAGAACACTAAATTTCAACTAAATAGAAAATCCTATATTTTTAAAATGTATTAATTCTTTATGCATAGTGAGACTGTTTTGCTAATTACTTAAAACATTCAACAGTTTTACTGCAAAGTACTATAACTTTCTTTTCATAAGAGCCCAGTGTAATGACTTTTAGCTTTCGCCTGGAATCAGTGTGCTGTTTTACAGGACTTCAGTTTCTGTCTTGGGCTTACTGATATCACCAGGAATTTTTCCATTGGCTTCACTGGGAGCAAAGTGGAGGCCTCTTAGTTCTTTACTTATAGCAGGAACACTTAAATTTTGTGTTATACAGACACAGACATACAGTATTTTCTTGTTCTAGGACTTCTTGATGGAAACATTCATAATGTTCAAAGATCTCATTGGAAAGAATGTTTACCCTTCTGACTGGATGGCAATGAGCATGGTGCAGAACAGGTAAAAAGGGCTGGAGGATCAGTGCTCATGTTCCACGTGCTTGTGAAAAGTGAACTTGTTCCATGTCTTACAAAAAGTTTTGCCATGCAGTCTGAGATGATTGTATCATTCCAATTTGGTAAATGCCAAGAAGGTAAGGTCATAATGTGAAATAATCTACTGACAATACATTAAATAGTTAATTGCCTGTGCTTTAAGTCTACTTACAATGGAAAGAAAAAAAAAAAATGTCTTTAACATTAAACAGAAGTACATAGTTGGTCTCCATGTTGACAATTAACAGAAACCAAACTGTAAAAGCCCTGTTGAATCTTGAATGTACAATTTCTGCACAGGGTTTGAATGTCCTCACTGATACGTCAGCAAGATCATCGTGATGCAAAAGTTGTCAAACACGATTTTCTTTCTGAACCAGTATGGTTGCTTGGATTCCTAAAAGGTTTGATGGTAAAGAACAAATCTTTGAACACAACACAGTATTTGGAGGAGGAGGTTGGATCCACGGTGCTTACGGTAGCTCACATCATTGAGGAAATGTATTGCTCTACAGTAGATCGTTTGGAGTTTCATCATGATTGATTAATTTGAAATCAAGTATATTGCCTCTGTAGATCAAGATGTCATTTAAGTGAAAGTCCATATAATCAAATTTATCATGCTGCCTATTGTTTGCTCTATGAGACCTTGCTATTAATAAGAAATCTTTGAGTTACTTAGATTGCAAAATTGACTGAAGAAAATATCTTGTGGTCATGAACTGAGCAGATCATACAGCTTTTATCCACAGCAATAATCTGTCTGTTTTGGTGTCACCATAAATGATAAACGAAGTATTGCTTGAGCTCCTTTAAACCACAGGACCACTGTTGTCTTGGTGTTAGGATTACAGTAGCATAAGTGAAATTTCACGTCTCATAGAGCCGTGTGAGTTCTTTTCAATTTATCATTTCCATATAATGTGATACTGAATTGGAAAGAAGAGAGAAGTGATCTTTGTGCACCTCCAGCACTGATAATTGTTTTAGATGGCTGGATTGGGCCAACATATCACAGATGGATTCCTTTAAAGTATATTTGGAATACTGCTTGTTTGAAGAAAATGTTCTTCCCTTGAAGTGTGAGTTTTGATGTTTATTATGGGCATCAGTTAGAAATGAATGTTTTTGGCAAGAAGGAAAGACTAGTATATAGGGGACAGGATGGGCTATGTGAGGATTTATTTCCTAATAATTGTTCTTAGCCATTCTGAGGTATGACTTTTTTCATTTTGTGTCTCCAGTCTATAACCAAGCAAAGGAAGGGAGAGCTGAACTGAGAATGCAAAGTAAATCACATGGCTAACAAATTTACTTGGTTCAACTTATTTATTTCTGGACCTCATAGGGGATGAAGAGTTTCCTCAAAATTTGAACACTTACTGGTTTTACAAGGATCTGAATATACAGAAGAAACTGAACAAAAAAGTAACAATGAGCATGTGATCAACTTACCTTGTGGATTTTTTTTTCTCTCAATTTCCTCCTCTCCATACTTGGTGGAAATGGTAGCTAAAAATGTCACTGAAAGGGATCTTGGCTTTGGGAAAAAAAAAGTTCATTTAGTTTCTTTATTTATTTGAATTTACCTTCAGGGCTGACTTAATTCTTTCTTCTTGTTCTCAAATAAATACTTAGAGTTTATATGCTGGATTGGATTATGAAGTGAATATGCTTTTTTTTTTTTTTCTTTTTTCTTTTTTCTTTGAGCAGGGCTTCTCTTGGTGAGGTTGATTTTGATCATCTGTACTATCCTTATTTTAGTTTTGTAGAAATGGCAGTAACACTGAGTTTTCTAGAAGTCACAGAGACACTAGTTTCAAGAATTAAGTCAAAAATGCATAGGTTCCAATTTAGATGTCCACAGATGCTGTTTATTT